TATTTGGAAATATAATAAATCTTGCTGCTCACCGTTCTCAAGTAAAAGCTTTTGACGTTGACTGGTGCTCTTTTATATGTTAATGACATTATTACAAGACATTGTTAAAACAAGACAAAAGTCATTCAGCAGTGCACAAATGTTTAATTTTTAATTTCACATTCGGAAGAAAGGCCTACTTATGTTGTTTGTGCATGCGTGCGTTCATTCTCTGAATCACATATTCATATTTGATAAACGCTCGTTAGATCAAATGCACAATGGTTTCTACGCAGCATTTTACAAATGAGGCCCATTTAATATTTAGGGAAAGAAAACCTCTGTACATTCCACAAACAACAAAAGACAATTCAAGTCTATAGTATGATGACCTGACATATATAGCAATTGTAAGTCGCTTTGGATCAAAGTGTCAGCTATATCTAAATGTAGCTACAATTGTATTACTTTAAAGGTGAAATTACGTACACTTTTTACCAGATGTAATATAAATATATATGGTGTCCCCAGAATGTGTCTGAGAAATTTCAGCTCAAAATACCCCACAGATCATTTATTATAGCTGGTCAAATTTGCCCCTTTTTGGGTGTGAGCAAAAACGCCCCATTTTTGTGTGTGTTTCTTTAAATGCAAATGAGCTGCTGCTCCCCGCCTCCGTGACTCAGGAAGAAGTTGCAACTTTTAGATGAACCTGGATGTTTCTGGATTAGTGGAGACATTTATGTAGTTGTGGTGGAGTTACATTTATTCATTTAGCTGACGCTTTTATCCAAAGCGACTTACAATTGCTACATATGTGAGAGGTCGCACGCCTCTGGAGCAACTAGGGGTTAAGTGTCTTGCTCAGGGACAGTGGATTCGAACCCGGGTCTCTCACACCAAAGGCATGTGTCTTATCCAGTGCACCATCACCACCCGGATTTCCATTCTGGGTTGTCGGAAAAACACGGAAAAAGTCCGATTTTCATGATATGTTTAACCATCTGTGAATCTTTGTTTTCCTAGGATGATGGCTTGTGATAACGCACCACGTGACCTGACTGACATTACTTTGAAAAGGAGGATTCCTACAATCAGACTCAGACTGAGGCAGCCAATAAAACAATGTAACATCATTTATGATTTTGATACTTTCATTGAAAGAGATACTGAAGAGAATCAGGAAATGATGGAGAGAAGATCAGCTGAAACTCTCATCGCTCACAGAGTAATTGTGTCTCGATTCCAGGATTTCAATAGTCAGTACCAATACCAGTCAAATTTCACTTATTACCAATTTAAATATGACATTAAAAACGAATTTGATGCATGTTTATTTTAGTGATTTAAATGATAAATTAAGAGACACATACATTTCTGTGAAATACTATTGATATTTGAAATCAATACTAGAACCACAACCTGCCTTGATTATCTTGGTGTAGCTTATTCATATTCATTTATTTTATTTTAAAGTTGGTGCATTAGAGTATGAAAATACTTGGTGTGATAATGTCAGGAGGAATGTTACAGTACAAACTTAACACAAATGTGTGTTTAAAACAATGACATTTTTATAGCAATTAAATCATAGTATGTCTTCATACGTTTGGTCGATATATCTTTATCTTCATTGTTAAAATGTGCAAAAATGAGTAATTGAAATGGTCAAAATCAGATATTTTTATGAGGTGCTGATTAGTTCTTTCATGTTATTTGTTGTCACGTGACTAGGAGGATGAAGAGCCATGTAATTTTTTATTATGTTTTTTTTTATCAGTTTTGGTCATGAATTATATTGTGTTTGTCAATTATCTCGTGTCTCTTTCAGTTCTATTGTGTTCAGCTGGGGTTTTATGAGTGTGATTGTTTTTTAAACTCATGGCATTATTGTATTTTGCTTTTTTGATATGTTTAATATTATCACTGTTTGATGGAAATGATTTGGCCAGTGTAGCCTTCAGCAAGCTGACTTTGGTTCTTTCTTTTGGCAATACTCTTGTTAATTTGTTCGTTTTTTGGATGGTGGATGGTGTCTTTTGTATGGTGCTCATTTTAAATATGTAAATAGGCTCAATAGAGACTAATTTATTTTAAGTGTCAATCCAAATAAATGCTAAACTCCTTAAGCCTGTACCTCAGATTTAACCATTGTTGCCAGTGCCTTAGGTTGCCGACCCCTGTTCTAGATGTTAGTCAGCAAACTTGCTAGTTAGTCTTTAGTCCAACATAAAATCTTCAACTATTACATTTATTTTTCGTTGATGAACTTTGTGCTCGTAAAAATAGGGCTATTTTAATCTAAAGTGCTAAAAGAATGTTAATTTGGATAAATAATTTAGCTCAGTAGGCTCTAAGTGGAGAGGAGCACACTGGTCACCAGAGGGCGCACTTGCTATGAAAAACCCTCTCGTTCGGCTGGATCAGTGAGGCTGTCATAAAGCATAATTTTTCCTCCCATCTCATATTTTTTTCCATCAACATCCGTATACCATAAAAGAAAAATACAGGAACAAAATATCTTCTAAGTTTGTATAGGTTTCCACTGGGTGAATGACTTTCTACAGGTCAGATGTGGCCAAAACCTTTAAAATGTGCATGAGTATGTCTGATATGCAGATATATTTCACATTATTGTGGGAAAATCAAACCATAAATATTAAATAAAAACATGAAATTGTGTTATTTGAGTCGTAATCACGCAGTACACAGAATACTAGAATGACAGAATTACAAATATTGCACACTTCTGATTTCATAAAATTTAAATATAATTTTTCATCTGTGAAAGGAGCCTTCAAAACAAATTATAAAAACACTTATTTTATTCTTATTAACTGTAAACTGTAAGCGTTTCGCCCCCGCCACTGAGAGGAAAGAGGAAGGACTGAATCTCATCTTGTGCTTCATTCAGTTTGTCTCAGAGGATTCTAAATAATGTGTGCACTGTGTCACCAGACCAAAATCATAATTCATAATTGCTTTTAAGCAGCCGATCAAAGCAAGCGAGAGGTCACATTTTAACTGAGCGTCTGAATGCCTTAAGTTGTGAAATGGAAAAAAAAAAACAGGCCTTGCTTGATCGTGCAGATTGAAGATACAGTACTGGGAGAAATATTATATTATTGTAATTAATCATCTCTGACTTCTCTGATCTCTCCATCTTCACGTGAGAGGGAGAAATGTGTTCCTTTTCCCAAGATAACTCCATTGAGCAGAGCTCCTATCAAACTTTTCAATCTGTAAATATAATACATTTAGTGGGACATCTCATTTACCTTCATTTCTGTCCCTGAAACTTCTCCAGTAACTAAAACTTCCGATGAAAAGCTTAAGTGTGTGATTTAAGGAGGTGATCTCTATGATTCACCCCAACATGAGTGAATCTGGACTGGTACACACATGACATCACATTAACAGATCCAATTTCCTTGGTTGACATTCCTTGGTGGGAATCACGTGAGTCAGATATTGAAACAGGGTATATTTTTCTCTCTTTTCATCCCTGCTTTGGACATTTGAAATCTATAAGTAAGCTGTCATACAAAGGTAGGTTACTGTAGTTTGTCATTACTGTATAATGTATGAGGTTTGACATGTTTCTTTCTTACGCATATAACACATGCAACTACTATTTCTGCATGCCAAGCTTAGATTATTTCCATTAAAGTAGGATCAGAATGAATGTGCACATTCCCTGTCTCTGCGTGTTTAACAGATAAGGTAAACTAATACCAACAACAAACAAGCAACTCACTGCTCAGACTAAACTGTTTCTCAAATATTCCCTTTGGCTCCATTCCACTGCAGTCTGACGCAAAGATAAAGTGAACAGAGGTAAGCAGGACATTCACACTGAACATTGCCTTCTGTAGGTTTCAGTTTCCACATACTGAGATGAATAAATCATTGATAAACCAACATTCATGAACAGAAATGTTTTAAGACTGAGTCACATTTCTGTGTATTTAGAGCGTATGGTTCTCAAAAGGTGGTAAATCACACCACTGTGGAAAAAATATTTGAAATGTGCTTTTTATTTGGCTATATTCTACTGTACATCTCATTTGTGATCTGCAATTTTATTATAGCTATGTGTGTCTAATCATTAGATGCCGAAGGCATTGCCCACGCTCTTACATCACTGTGAACGGCAAGAATAGATGATTCACATGTTTGTGACACTTCAATTTGATCACAAGTTTTACTTCATCTGACCATCAATTTAGAGTAAAACATTAAAATCAATAGTGTGAATCACAACAGGATATTTTAGATATTTAATTTAGCTCTGGTTTGTTAGAAACTGGAGTTTGAAACACCATTAATGTTTACCCTTGAATATTTGCAATTAACAAATAAGGTTGATGGAATTGTCATGTGGTTGAAGAAACGAACCCAAACGATATGCAGACTAACAGGGATTTATTGAGGCACAAAACAGAAAACAAAAACCCACGAGGGGGCAAAACAGGACAGATGGGGCAGTACAACTAGACTAAGACAGGAAATAAACTAGGACTAGATACTGACTGATAAAGACAAGATGAAGAAAACAAACAGCTACATAAACTCACAATTCTTAATACAATATTCAGACAAAGTACTCACAGGACTCTCACAAAGAGTAACACGCACAGGTTGACAATGTACCGACACAGGACAGCAAACACAAGGGGATTAAATAGGGAGACACTAATGACAAAGACAGGTGAAGCTGACTAGACAAGAACAGGTGAAACTGACTAGACAATAATGACGAGACGAGGATAACAAGGGGGCGGGGTAACGTAACGAGACAACACAAGCACACAAGCACACAACACATGGCTCAAAACACAAGACCATGTGCTTGCACACAAAACATGATTCTGTCATGATCCTGCCTCAAGACTAGAGAAAATCAAGGACACGAGGGCAGAATCATGACAGGAATTCCCATCAACTGAATAAATTGGCAAGGTCATGTTTGCACTGTCTAAAGGTCACGTTAGGTTTGCAATAAAAACTCCAGTGATACTGACAGACAACAGTGCAGTCTAGACTGGTGTTTGGAGCAAGTTTCATCAGTATTTTCTAAGGTTTTTTTCATTACCTTACGTGCTGTTGATTTCCATACAGCCTTCAGGCAAAAGAAGAAGACACAATATTAATTTACCCACTTCAACAAGGTAAGTGCTTGATATATAATAGGCCTATAGACAAACAAAGGGACTGCATGAAACTGTGTATGTACGAAAAAATGCACAGCTAGGTTAAAGTAACTGAGGGTGTATTCACACCTGCCTTGTTTGGTTCAATTGAATCGAACTCTAGTTTGTTTCCCCCCTTGGTGCGGACCTTTTGGGCAGGTGTGAATACAGCAATCCAACTCGGGTGCGGACCAAACAACCGAACCGAGACCCAGCTGAAGAGGTGGTCTCGGTACAGTTCCAAATGAACTCTGGTACGGTTCGTTTACGGTGTGAACATGAACCGACCCAATTGCAAGAAAGCACTGCGACTTTGAGTTAACAGGCTTCCATAGTCGGAGTTGCGTTATGGGAAAGTGATCTGTTGTAGCCTACTACATTACATCTGTTGCGCGTCTTTCTGCGCGTCATGTGCATCATTGGAATGGAATGAATGAATGAGTGTGTGCATCAGGACATTCACATACAGAGCGTTCTCTTTAGTCTAATCGCACATAGATGCAAAAAAAAAAAAGCATTTGCAGTTCATATAATGTAACGATAGTTACAATACAAGGATGATGCTGCGTTAATTTACATTAAGCCTTTTTTGCACTTCCTGATTTCCCTACTTGAGAATCCTTGTCCAATGAATGGACGACCTTAGCACACGTGTGGTTTTGTTTACAAATTTTGGTTCACTTGCAAAAAGAGCAGTGTGAAAGCGAACCGTACCAAAAAAAAAAAAAAAAAAAAAAAAGTATTTGGTCCGGACCAAAGCAAGTGAACTATCGGACTTTCCTGGTGTGAATACACCCTTAGATATGTGCAAGTAAAAACAAAGCAAGGGTCTCAACAGTATTTTCTTAATCACAACTAAACTGCTTTATAAGTCAAATGTCAGTAAAGGTGTTCTGATGTGTGTGTTGTTCAGCAGGTCATGGAGATTCATCAGTCTGCTGTGATTCTGCTGCTGGTCGTGTGTGTGTCGTTCTCCACTCATGCTCAACCAGACGGTTATGAGAAGTTCCTCAAGCAACATGTGTTTGGTGCCATGACTGTACAGAAATGTGACAGTGAGATCCGCATAAGAGGAATCGTACGCCCCCAAACCACCAACGGCTGCAAAGAAACCAACACCTTCATACTAGCAAATAAAAAATATGTTAGAGCAGTTTGTGGTAAAGCAGGAACTGCACTGGGCGATGACAAGTTTATGAGTAACAATCCTTTCCCTGTGGTCATTTGTAAAAAAAACAGTGGGGATACACACCCACACTGTAAATATAGAGGGGTCAGGTCCACTCGTAAAATTGTGGTGAGTTGTGAAGACGGCTGGCCTACACATTATGCCGAAGACGTAATTAATGTGTAGATGACAGACTGAAAAGAGCTTTACAATATTGTGCTAATCGTTTGTTCACTTCTCCTTTTCTGTCTCCCTTTGTTTTTCAATAAAAAAAAATAAAAAAAAGACATCAACAATCAGAATCAACAAAGCCAAAAATAAAACCGAAAAATAAATACTTGACCTCAGTTAACGTGTCATAGTTCAATGAACTCATTGAAGCACAGCTGTACATGTAGCCTACGTAATTATATTTTAGCAAATTGGAAAAAAAAAATCATGTCCTTTTGAAAAACAGCACACAAGTTCAGCTTAAGGTAAACGAAAATGTGCCTCTCTTTCTTTATGAGACTGATATGAACAAGAATATCTCATCACTTACCTTAAATGAGCATAATGTTAAAATAACTTTTTGATGTTATATTCTGCACTTCTTCATGCATGTCTCTGTGTGTAGTTGTGCTTTTCATGTGCAGATTCAGCGAGTCTACTGAATTTAAGCACTCTGTTAACACTTTTTGAGCATTACAAAACTTTTTAATCCTCAATAAAACTTCTCTAACGTTAAACTCGTCTGCTGGATTGTCTTGCATCTCAACAACAGTAACTGAAGGAAAAATATCCAATTACTTAATTTATTTGTCTTTGCTTTTTTTTTTTTTTTTTAAGTATAAATGACAAGTTATCAATCAACCACTTTATATTTTGTTTCTTTTTTATATCCAAAAATCAGTTAATTAAAATGAATCATTACCACATTTTTAGTATTTGGAGCCAGTGGTTCTTGAGGAAAAGTCTCCCCAAATGTAAAAATGGCCAAATTGTTGAGATAGTTAATAGTTAAGAGTAAAGCCTAATTTTTCCTCCCATCTCATATTTTTTTCCATCAACATCCGTATACCATAAAAGAAAAATACAGGAACAAAATATCTTCTAAGTTTGTATAGGTTTCCACTGGGTGAATGACTTTCTACAGATGTCAGATGTGCATTATTGCAGACTGCACACAGCATCCCGGGAAGGCGGCGCTTCATTTGGAAAAATGCTGCGCGTCAAAAAGCTGGCCGATGCCCAGCTTTATGCAAATGAATTCCGTTGAACGCCTCCCCACATTTGTACTTTGATGGGCGTTCCTCAAGTTTACCGCTATGGGTGTGGTTTTGAGCCAGCGGGCCAGTCTAGAACAGAGGACCTGCGAGAGACTTCCCCCCGTCTCCATATGCTCTGCTTCTATTGGATAGTCGCGTCGCGTTCAACGGAATTCATTTGCATAAAGATGGGCATCGGCCAGCTTTTTGACGCGCAGCATTTTTCCAAATGAAGCGCCGCCTTCCCGGGATGCTTTGCGGGCGCGTTAAAGTCGCGTGACGTCACCCATAGGAATAAAGTGGAGCGCAGCGCAACAGAAGTGTCGCACGGACAAGTGGATCTGCACCGTTACGGTACTGATCCACTTGTCCGTGCGGCACTTCAGTCGCGTCGCACTCCACTTTATTCCTATGGGTGACGTCACGCGACTTTAACGCGCCCGCAAAGCATCCCGGGAAGGCGGCGCTTCATTTGGAAAAATGCTGCGAGTCAAAAAGCTGGCCGATGCCCAGCTTTATGCAAATGAATCCGCCAAACGCGACGCGTCTATCCAATAGAAGTAGTCTCTCGAGGGGCCTTTGTTCTAGACTGGCCGCTGGGTCAAAACCACGCCCATAGCGGTAAACTTGAGGAACGCCCATCAACTTACAAATGTGGAGAGGCGTGCGACACCACGCTTCAGTCGTGTCGCAAAAGTGGATCAGTACCGTTATACGATGGTGACCCGCGCCGCGCTAAACGCCTCCGACACACAGCTCTACTGCCCATTCTCGCAAGTGTTGATAGGCTATTACTCGTGAGGAGTAACCAATCAGATAGCGCCGTGGGCGGGACATTGCGCAAGTCTGCAGAGAGGTGATTACAGAGAGGCTGCGGCCGCTATACCAGAGCCATGCCGAAGGAGCGCATTTTTAAAATAAAATTGACTTTAATCAAACCACGGACCCGTGATAAGTTTTGTGATCCGTCTCGCCACTATTGTAGTAGCACTGATCACTTTGAGGGGGGTATAAATTTATCCCCACCGGGGATAAAAATAATTAAGCAGAGGCAGGGATACTTTGACCAGAAAGGGGGAAATCCCACGCATCCCCCCCGGCAAATCGCACCCTGATTAAAAGTATATTAATTTAGCTAAAGTATTTGTATCAATACTATATGTCTTTTGTGCTGGTTTTACCCCGTGTGTAGGCTATACCCCCTTGCCACCTCATACATTAATACGATTTTTAAACTAACAAACCACCTTTATGATTTATTTTCACACAAAATCTGTTGCTCCATCAATTTTCAAACATATATTTTTCTGCAATCATATGTGAAAAGCAAATGTTAGGGTGTGCCTTTAGCCCCATTGTAACCTAGCTAATATGGTACTATTCATTTAGATCAGTGTTAATTTTGACAGCAAATTTTGATTTAGTCTTAGTCTTTTGACTAAAATGCCATTTATAGTTTTAGTCATATTTTAGTCATCTGAATTGTTTTAGTTTTAATCGACGAAATACAATAAGGTTTTAGTCGACTAAATCTACAGTAGATTTAGTCGACTAAAATTTAATGGGTTTATTGTTAAATTGTAATGCATTAATTTAGAATTTCTCTAAAATGTCCAAACCCATTATATATTCCTGTAGAAAACATCTATTAACCTGATAATATTAATAATTTTTAAAGTTTGAACATGCAATACAGACACATATTTAGCACTGTGACATAAAATAATATCTTAAAATTAAAGTCTTACATACATCATTCTTTATTCTTTCAAGCAGACATATTTATTTGTATGAATTAAATATAATTAATCCTTATTAAAGCTATTAAAGAGCAGTGAATGCTTTTCTCTTTTTATTTTGTTGTTTGATTAATATTAAAGGTGCAATGTGTAACATTTTTGAGTATCTATTAACAGAAATGCAATATGACATCCATAACTATGTGTTCAGTGGTGTATAAAGAACTTACTTAATAAACCGTAATGTTTTTATTACCTTAGAATGAGGCATTTATATCTACATCCCCTTCTATGAAGGTCGCCATATTGTGACGTCATGTTTCTACCCTAGCCGACAGTGAACAAACAGCGATACAGAGCGCGTTTCGTCACTTGAAAAAGAAGCCGCAGGAAGCTAGAAGAAGCTAGTCATAAACACCGTGAGTAGTGACTTTTCCCTTGTCAGTGGTGTAAATATGCAGTTGGATTTGTAAGACTGGAAAACTGGAAACTGGGTGAAAAGATAGACCACTGGTCTATGAGACAAAGGACCTTGGCAAATTAACATTTGAACTCACACACACACACACACACACACACACACACACACACACACACACACACACACACACACACACACACACACACACACACACACACTTCTTCCCCGCATCCCCCACTCTCGCAGTGACACATAAAAACTCACATAAGAATATCTATGGGTTGATGTGAATGATTATCATTGAGTATTATGTTTGGTATCATTTGAAATGTCTCAGGAATGAGTGGTACAAATGTCTCATCCCCAAAGTATAAAACAAAAGGTAATAAGGTTTTTTAAGAGTTTAGGGATATCTGGCACACAAATGAATGTGGTCTCCTACTCCCAAGGTGTGAACTCAATGCTAATTTCCACTGTTAGCAAATGGTACCATGTAAATTTACTTCTGCCCCCAGTAAGTCTGGGGGGATGAACACAGTACATTTCCACTGTGAATCCAGGTTTACATATGAAATGAGGTCTGGCTATTTAATGGAAGGCAGCAAGGGATCGTGGCTTTTTTCTGTATTTCAGATAGCCCGTGAGGTTTAGCTCATGTAGTTCATGTTGGGTTTGCATCTATTTCTCTAATCCTAAAACATTTGATGATTTGCATTGATTATCTTTCAATTGATTATGGAATTGTTAAAATACATTTACCTGACATAATAAATTGTTATATTTGATTATTCTAACAGACTTTGACTTTATTTTCATTGGAGTTAAAAGGAATAGTCAAACATTAACGTATATTTAATGATGCACAGATTAAAACACTTTCATTCTATGGAGTCAGATGAAACGAGTTAATACATAAGACCAAATATATTATATTTAATTAAAAAATCCTTTTGCCATTGGAAGAGACGGTACGCGCGTTGAGACCTTCACCGCTAATTTGAATGCCGCCCTTGGATCGAATTAGACAGGCTTACAAATTGGCGACCCCCGAGACGTGATCGCAACAGATGAATTCGCGAGCAACGTCTTTTCCAGCAAAGTATGGGGATTTTAAAATCAGCATGTGGTTTGAACATCTTCACTTTCTTCTGCCGCTGTGGTAAGTCATTTTTTTCTTCCCTCTTGAGAAGTGTTGAGAACATGTTGTTTGCATTGTTATGGGTAGCTATAGGAAAGCCCTTTGTTTAGTCCAGAACTGAAATACGTGAGGACGTGATAGCGACAGCGCAGATGAAGAATGAAAACCCTTGTTAATAGATTAAAGATATCCTTGTTTGCCTAAGCAACAAAAAACGAAACCTAAAATCGGAATAACATCTTCCAAATGTTTTTCGTGTAACGTTACTTGATGAGGAGCTGTAAAACAGCCTAAAAGTCTTCAAATCAGCCGCATGTTTGTCGCCATTGTGGTATTGGCTTTGTTGAAACGAACTAGCAACACATGAAGAGAATCGGCAAACAACAGAAAGGAAAATCTAAGTTTGTAAACGGAGAAATCGGAGAACACGTGATTTTACAAATACAAAGGCAGATCGATGCATTGTTTATAAAAAGCTAAATTTGGGAAAACAGGATGATATGATTTACAGGCTAAAAGCGGATCTCATGGCTAAGCTAAATGCTATTTTCCATGCTGCCTCCAAAAGGAGACTAAGCTAAATGCTAGTACGGTATTGCCCATGCTACTTAAACAAAGCTAATGCTAAATGCTAAATGCCATGCTGCATTCAGAAATGCTTAACCCTTTGCGAGACCGGCCCACCGGTGGGCACAAAAGCC